ATGTAAAAACAGAGAACTACGCTCAGCAGCTGTACAACCAGTTCGAGAGGGACGATGTGCTCAGGAATTGCTCAACCTATGAGCGAAATGTTAGTCTCACATAAGAATACATTATTTGCTTTTTACGATAGAAAATTTTTAAAAAACAATGATCTGCGATTTTTGACCTACATTTAATCTTAATCCAACAGAAAAATCATGGCCATTAGCGAAAGAAAATCATTTTATAGATCTTAGGAATGCTTGCATAAATTTTCCTGGAGACTGAGTGTATAGTGTATGTATCTTGCAAAAGAATTTATTTAAAACAGCTGTATTACTCTCTGTGTGAAGAATGCTTTTTAGTGAATGTTTGAACAAATAAGGTCACATTCTGAAGTAGATGATTTGGTACGTAGCAGAAGTTGTAAAAAGAATGAAAAATCGCATAAATGTAGTTTGCTTGAAAAAAAATATTTCAGGACCCTTCACTTACTTGGCAGCGCGGACAGTGGAATCAGTGGCCATCAGCACACGATCCATCTACTTCTGGGTTGGACATGAGTGGAGGTGAGAAAAAGCGATCACTCATCTGTTACCTTTTGCTTATTAGATAGGTTTAGTTCTGCATGGTTGCCTTGGCTCTTCTCCCAGCGGATGGAATACCACCACACCTGGTACTTCAGGAGCTGTTGAGAAACCTTACATGAAAAGAAACAGGTAAATATCTCACCGTCCATAAGCTCTATAACTCAGCCAACATTTAAAAATAACGGTTTTTCCATAGAAAAACTGAACATCCTGTCTGGGAGTACTTCAAGCGAACTGCCGATGGTAATGCACAATGCGGTATCTGTACTGGAGTTGTAAAAAGTCCCTGTTCATCCAATTTCATGCGACACCTGATGCGACATCATTCTTCAGAATATAACGACGTCTACGTGAAATGGGTACAGAAGCGTGGACCAAATAAATAGTCCAACAATAATTTCTTTTGATATATACATGTACAAATTTGAGTAACCATCTAACAGTCTCATTTGCCTCATGCATAGATTTTTGAAGCTTCAAAATGAGAGTTGTCTTGGGAATTAAAGAAGTGTGTGCCCGATTAGGGTTTTTATAACACTGGAACAAAGCATGGAAGGACAATGCCAGGCCACACAAGCTACATTTTCTATTCTCTATCATTCCTTTTATCAAAGTTCCTTATGTTAAAAAAAGGACTCAGAACGAGTTCAGTATTCTTGATACTTTTGGGTGGCAGACTTATGCCACGCCCTCCACTTTGAATGTGCAATAGTGGCAGTTTTACGCTCCGCCTCTCTGATGATTGACGAATGGTTGATGTGCAAGCCTTTTTCCATATTTGTCAAGTACTTTCCATTCCATCCATTATAGATGTCTCGCATTTTCATGTTATCCTCCTAAATTGTAAATGTTATTTTGTTATTTTATTATCTCACCCTCTTATAAAGCTACCCTGTGATATAGTATTGTGATTCATCTGTACTTCTTATGTCTGGGTAAGGCATTGGCTGGTTAGTACGCAATCCAATCAGCAACTGCAATATCATCATCTTCTTGTAAATTTTCTTAATTAATTTATCTTATTTCTAATTGTTGTACCTAGCTTCTACAGTACCTTACTGTTTCTTTCACTCTTCAAAGCAATGCCATCGTTCTTTCCTTACTATGTGCCTAATTATTCTTCGAACGGGTGAATTATCTTTCCATCGAGAATTTTAGATAGCACCTAAAATTTATTTATTTTTTTCAGTTGGGCATATTTTCAGTTTATATCGGTACTTGTCCTGTGATGTGATGTAATGTGCCATAAAAATCATGTTTAATTTGGTTTATATTTATTTACATCCACAAAGTAAGGTCAATTGCTTCAAAAAGCGAAATCCTTCATATAAATGTCTTCGCTCATTCAACTTCCAAAGTAGCTGTTTGTAACAAGTACACAAAAGAGTCCTTATTTTTGCAAAAAGATTTTCGTCTGCACTTAAATGCGTAGCCTTTGTTATACTCAGCTTTTATTTAGTTGGGATGTAATTTCACACGATAGCATACACAATATCCTTGTGACACACATATCTTACGCCAACTGCAAGAGCAGGTGATGTTCCGAAAAGTTCATTG